GATCATGTGACACTGAAGACTGGAGTAATGATGCTGAAAATACAGCTTTGATCACAGAAATAAATTACATTTTAACAGATATTCACATAGAAAACAGTTATCTTAAATTGTAATAATATTTCACAAAATTACTGTTTTTACTGTATTTTTATCAAATAAATGCAGCCTTGGTGAGCAGAAGAGACATCATTCAAAAACATTACCATTTAAAAATTTGGGGTTGGTAAGATATTTTAGTGTACGTTTATATTTGAACTCTCCAAACAAACAAAAACCATCTTAAAAGTCATGTGATCCACAACTAGTTGACATTTTATACATCAAACAGAAAGATGCTATATTATATTGTATCAATTATGTTATGTTATGTTATATATCCAGGACTATATTAAATATATTATACAGTATTATCGGATTTGAAGAACTGCTTATGACTGTATTTACATAATTAATAATTAATCAACATTTAATAATCTACACCAAGGCATTTATTTGATCAAAATTAAACCGTAAAACTGTGAAATATTATTGCAATTTAAAAGCACTGTTTTCTATTTGAATATACTTTAACCTGTAATTTATTGCTGTGATCAAAGCTGAATTTTCAGCATCATTACTCCAGTCTTCAGTGTCACATGATCCTTCAGCAGCTTTTATTAAATATTATTATATTGTATTATTGGCATTGAAAAACGGTGTAATTATGGCTGTATTCACATGGCTTAGATTGAATTTGACATGACATCATAATTACTAAAATCTGTACTGTACACAGTCAGCTGAACAAACAATAAGAGCCATTAATCACATGATCTTGTCTCTGTCTTCAGATTAAGGAGCCGAATGCGTATGGAAACTCTGCTCTGCACCTGGCGTGTTTTAACGGGCAGGACGTGGTGGTGAGTGAGCTGATGGAAGCAGGTGCTGATGTCAATCAGGTGAATGAGAAGGGCTTCTCCCCGCTGCACTTCACCGCCGCGTCGCGCCAGGGGGCGCTCTGTCTCGAGCTGCTCATCGCCAACGGAGCCAACATCAACAGCAAGGTCAAAATACACACCACCTCTCGTCTTCTACATCACAATATGTCAGTTAATGACTTTAAAGTGCCCCTGTTATGCCATTTTTAAGGTTGCTAATATTGTTTTAGGAGTCTCCTAAAACAGGTTTACATGCATGCAAGGTCAAAAAACACATTAGTTTTCTCAAAAAATAGATTTAATTTTACCTCATTTCTAAATGATTCGTAAACGAGTCGTGCGAAGCAGTTCAAAGAATCAGTCTCTCTAAGCCCCTCCTTTCCGTGAGCCCTCACTGTTGTGATTGGTCAGATGGCGCAGTCCTTTGTGATTGGTCCAGAGCCGCAGAGAGATTGGCTCTGGATTGGTCTACCGCGTACAGCGTGTGTCGGAAACGAAACACCCATTGCCATGATGGAATGACAGCCCTGGAGACTTGACGATACATAGAAAAGATGGTATCGATTGTACCTTACCGATTCGAGCCGGAGTCTGATGATGAAACGGTAGAACTGGCTGATCGACAAGAGACTGATTCGCAAGCACGACTGGAGCAGGACGTTTCTCAGTGGTAAGTGTGAAGTGTTAACAAGTTTGTGGTAATTATAAGATGTGATAAAACAAATTTACTCTCACAGCGTAGGATACAGCGTCTTCTCGACATGATGTTAACCACATGGAAATTTGACTGTGTTTGTGGGCGGGCAAGTTGGCGACGTAGAACGTGGGCAGACATTATGCAAATGTGTTACTTCGTGACGTAGAGCCTTAAAGGGATAGTTCACCCAAAAATGAAAATGTGATGTTTTCACGAGCTGCAGGATTTAATTTGGATTTGTCTGTGCATGTTTTTTTTTACTCTCATAGATTTTGTTACCATTGCCATGCATTATACGACTGATAGACTGCAACAGTTAAAGTTAAAAATCATCAAATGTGTTCTACTGAAGAAACAAAGTCACCTACATCTTGGATGTCCTGGGGGTAAGCAGATAAACATCAAATTTTCATTTTTGGGTGAACTATCCCTTTAACAGAATAAGATTCAAATTCCTGACGACTCGTTTAGGCGATTGCGAGGCGACTCTTTTCGTGCACTGTCGGCTTCACAACTTTGCAGATAGTTTATGTTCACATACAGCTATAAGACACACTGCATGAAAGGTAATATTCGAAAAGGCATAATAGGGGCACTTTAAATTGTATTATGTATAGCCAAAGCTGCAAATGTTTAAATTAATGCCTTACACAAGTTACTACACACAAACATTCATAAAATTCAGATTATAGCTTGTTATAGATTGTCTGTCTTAAATTATAATTATAATTAAGAATTTGAATCATACTGTATATGACCAGTTGTAAAAAACAAAAAAAGCTTATATTATTATTTGTGTTATTATTTTAGTCATCCAACTTTTTATAATATAATATCCAGCAGACTATATTAAATATATTGTCCTGTATTGTTGCCATTGAAGAACTGTTTAATTATGTACATTATCTGCGTTATTAATTATTAATCTTCTCCAAGGCTGCATTTATTTGATCAAAAATACAGTAGAAACTGTAATATTGTGAAATATTATTACAGTTTAAAATCAATGTTTTCTGATTCAATATACAGTATTGTATCGACAGCAACATTACTGACTTTTCTGATTTTTTATTTATTTGTATTTTTGATAGACAGTTTTTATTACTTCAGTTTAACATGAACATGTCTTTGTAAACTTTAAATTGAAATGTACAAAAATGGCTCATGAGAGCAGAGCAAAATGAGAAAGTCTGGTTATTTACATGCTTTAATGCAAATTACAGAAAGCCACCTGATAATATAAATTTCACTGAAGTTAATATTGTGATACCGTCCAAAACAACTAGTTAAATCTTATATTTAGCATTTTTCTAACAATTTTATAAATGGCATTACTGTTCAAAATTTTGGGGTTAGTAAGACTTTTTTTCTTTTTAACGATATTATTTATTACAACATATATTGATAAATTGAACATTCACTTCAGTGGGAC